CACACACACACACACGAGGCACCTGCCCATTTTAACTTTTACATTATCAGACAATAATATTGTCTATGTCATTTGACGTTTTTCCAATTTATCTTCCCTAATTTTTCCTCATTTCAGTCTTTGGATATTGGGGTTTGTAAAACTGCACTGGACAGACAGCACAATGTTGCACTGAGTCGTTGAATGTGGTTTCTCTGCGTGTGTGTGTGTGTGTGTGTGTGTGTGTGTGTGTGTGTGTGTTTGTGTGTGTGTTTCATGTGTGTAGTAGTACATGTGCTCACTTCTCGTGCCTCAGACTAGTGTGCTCTCTCTGTTCATTTATTAATGTGTCCGCACTGTGTTGTGATCAATGTAATGTTCACAGTACACGCATCGTCTTGTAGTTCTGATCGAGAAGATGTGTTAATTTCTTTCTATGTTGTTCATATTTAGAAAGACTCTCCTGTTTTGTTTGAACTTCCTAAAACGTTTTTGTATAAAAATCTCTACCTCGACGCAAGAAATTTCAATTTCATGTGTTGAGGAATTTTTATACGACCTTTGCTGTGTTGTTCACATTACTACACACATCGTGTAGATCTAGTTCTGAGTTGAGAAGATGTATTTTCTGTGTTGTTCGTATTTAGAAATACTCGACAGTTTGTTTTGTTGTTTGAACATCACAAAAAGTTTTGTATACAAAGTACAACATATGAAGTTTAATAATTTGTGTGTGATGGGAATTTATACAAACTGTGTTGTGGTTGTTTTGGGTTTTTTTATATTATCGGGCCTATTTCAACCAAAATGGTTTAATTTGTAGAGTTAGAATAGTTTGCTAGGAAAAGTTTATGGAAAAATCTTTGTAGGAAAAGGAACTGAAAAGGATTTTTTTTACAAACTTGAAGAAGAAGAAGAAGAAGAAAAAGAAAAGAAGAAGAAGAAGAAGAAGAAGAAGAAGAAGAAGAAGAAGAAGAAGAAGAAAAGAAAGAGAACGAGGAAGAAAAGGGAGTAGAAGAAGAAATAGAAGAGAGTTTAGACTGAGCTGCCTTTCCCAGGGTACTTACATTAAGAGGTTTTCTTCCAACGTGGTGTGACTGTTTGCACTATGGTGTGTCTTTAACTGTTTGTTTTCAACAAAGTATCATTCTTTTTCTTTCCTTTTATTCTTTTTCTTTCACTCTCTTCCTTTTATTCTTTTTCTTTCACTCTCTTCCTTTTATTCTTTTTCTTTCACTCTCTTCCTTTTATTCTTTATCTTTCACTCTCTTCCTTTTATTCTTTTTCTTTCACTTTCTTCCTTTCGTTCTTTGCCTTTTATTTTTTTATTTTATTTTTTTTCTTTCTATTCTTTGTCTTACCGATTTCTTCTTGTATTTGTCTTTCTTGTTTTGTAATTCGTTCTTTTCCTTTTATCCTTCTCCTTTTCTGATCATTTTCCGAAGACTTCAACCCTATCCATTTCTCTATTACCTTTTTATGAGTCAAAACGTAAATGGCGGTATGGTCTACATATTATATTCCTTTCTAATGAGACATTTCTTTCGTTGTGGGTTTCATTGTAGCAAGTAAAAATATTGTTTTTGAAACTTGGGGTTAAAGTTGCCTGCCTTCTAAATGATCTAAATTATCTAGATAGGGGTGGAAAACATCTACACTTAAAGTCAAAAGTACACCCGAAAAGGATTGATAGAGTATGTATTTAAAAATAGTGGTTATGACATTGATAAAAGAGGTTTAAAGTAGGCTCCCTCTGGTTGTTCTTGAGTTGCATGTAGATCTACTTACTGACCGTGTGTCTAGATCTAGATCTAGCAGCTGTTTGTGTCTTTTGGATTCCTTCCCTTTGTGAAGCAGACGCACAAAGCGACTTTGTCTGAAGTCGAAGGAGGGGGGGGGGGAGAGGGGGGATTGAAGGAATTATGTGTCTTTGTTACCTTGACAACAACCAACATTGAAGTGTCATGAAAAACTATAACCATATCATTACGTAGTATGTGTGAGTGTCTTTTCTAGACTCCCGTGTTGAATGGTGTTGAGTTCGATTCTCATGATATGTCTGACAAGTCACTGTGTTTTGTTATGTTTTGTGTAGTTGTGTTTTGTTTTGGTGTTTTTCCGTCACCTGTAAAGGCGATCGGTGCTGGCCTATTTATGACTTACTGTGACTGCTACATAGTCGTCCGTGATGTAAAGTCCTGGTAGACATACAAGTTGTGGTTTTTATTTGTAGGGTAGGTCTCAGCTTTTGTGAATGCACATCTGTGTCAGAATGCAGGGGCGAAGGCTGACTTGTTTGACAGGGTAATCAAAGTGAAACGGGACCAGATATAGATCTATATGGCCTGTAGATATCACAGAAGAATCTTACTCGAGGCGGCGACTCTGAGTTATGAATGAAAACAAATCCGGAATTCATATTGTATGTTCAACCGCCAA